ACATACATTAATACAATACAAAATAAAGATCCATTCAACAATTGTAATATACAAGCATGATCGTGGGTAACACTCGTTGGAGTCGGAAGGTATGAAAGTGGACAATTCAGACCAATTGCCACAAGACATCATAAACTGTCTTATTTCAATCATGAAATCGCGCTGGAAGGTTTGTATATCCGTAAGAGGGGACCTTACCCCCTATTAACCCTTCTTTTTTTGTTTATTCTGCAACCGCTGTTTCGTACCTTCTGACTCCAACGAGTATTTCGCACGATCATGAGTGTGTATTACAATTGTTAATGGTTATTTGTTTTGCATTGTATGTACATATCAAATTTCATGAAAATCGATCTAGTAGTTCTAGAGATAATCGGCCAAGTCTGCAAATTCTCTTAATTTGTGGCATCAATGTACATTGCCCGACATGACCAGTTCATAAAAGTTTCCGTTCGGGCATGCAAATATTTCATCAGAACTAAAATATTTATTAAGCGTTCCTCGAAGTCTGTCAAAAGTTGCTAAGATGTCAGGGAGATGAAGCATAATCAAGGGAGGGGGATAAATATTTTAGACTTTACTGAATTTTATATAAATTAGAATTTATTAAATAAAGCAATCCTTTTATATTTTTTTATTCCCTTTATCATGCGTGTTATGATTGAAAACTAAATTTACCTCAGTTGCTGTTCATCAAAAAATAATTAATATAAGAATTAAAAGCATTTTTAAAATGGCAAGTTGAAAGTCGTGAACTTGATAATCGTTCTTAATAATTTAGGTGGTAAAATTTCTTTGTTTATAATAATGCTTTGAATTTACTCCGCCTATACTCTTTGTCAATAATACCTAAAACTTTGTCAATAATATAAAAACCTTTAACACTTTTGATTTATGTTATATCATTATTATTATTTGCTTTTTATTATTTATATTTCGCACTTAAGATTAAAGTTAATATGTTGATAAAATGTCGTTAATTTCGATTGATTAATGACAGATTGTTAACATGTGATTTAATAGGCAGATATTCGAGATTGTAAACTAACATGCCCGATGGAGAATGTAAAAATTGTGAGATATTTCAACCCCGGTGATTTAATGAAAACAAATTAGAAAATTCAAAATAATGAAAACAAATAAAAATTTAATGAAAACAAAGAATAGAAAACTTTAAATATATGAGTTTAAACCAATGTAAATCAAATACAAAAATGTCGAGTTTTCTGTTCTCCCAGAACGTTGAAATCGTTCGAATAACCCTAGAAGTATTTCCTCGGGGTTTCTAACTTAAATTTCATGTAAGCGGTGTTAACTTTCCGTTTTTGAATGACAGGCAAAATAAGATAAAATAGATTTCACGCATCAAGTTAGGTCTGACCTTTGCACTTTCTCAACCTCAACAGGTAGGTCAAATCTAAGGTTCGGACGGATTTTCATCCAAATACGATACAAAAAATAGATATTTTTTTACTTGAAGTGAGCTTTTTTTTGTTGTTTCAAACAGCAGATTTATATCAAATTCTTAGGTTGTAATTCTAAACTATTTTCTTCATTTCTCTGATTTTGAACTAATGGTGTGAAATTTGCGTTAACGAAATAATAAAAAAAATTGATAATTCTATTTAAATTAGTGAAAAAAAATAATCACTCTAATTCATTTCTTAAAAGGTCGAACCCTTCAAGAATTTTTTGCTTATTACTCTTTTATTTCTGATATATCATTATATACCTTATTATTTTTCCTTTAAATTTATTTATTTTATTTTACGTATTTCTTTTCATCATTTTATGTATTTTTTTACTTTACTGGTAGACAAAACTATTAATATTTATGTTAGACGTACACTTCTTATGTAATATACCTTTCCAGTTATAAAAAATTATTGCTAATAAAGTTTTTGCATCGATTATCTCAAACAATAGATGTATGGGAAAAAATATCGGCGTTACATTTTTGGAAAATCCTTTATTTAAAGTATGACGTTACATAACAATATTTTCAATCCTTGACAGAATGGATAAATAAGTGCTTAATAAGTAGTATCTTTTGGATCTGCATAAAATTGCTCTTTCATTCATCAGCACATTTACAAATATATATTTTTGATAATTTTAAATGTTGTTAACTTACTACTTGCATAGAGAAAATAAGTAATTAATAGTAATAAAGCAAGTAAGTTAACGAGTAATTGCTAAACAAAATAGAGGTTATCAAAATTAACATTTTTGCCTCATCTAAAACTCAAGCACTTTTAAAATTAGGTAATTTTAAAAGGTAATTATCTATGCTAACTTTAATAAGCTATGTTTTGAAGGTTAATAAAAGGGATAAGTGTAACTTTATCTAATTATAATTCAATTAATATTATCGCATTTACTACAAAACAATATAGCAATAAAAACTGTATTATACGGTTAATTTTACCAAATAGTCATTACCAAAGAGCTTCAGTAGAAATTACCTTGCTTTTTGGTGTTTCCAGAAAAACGGTAAATTTGACCATATTATGGTAGTTTTGACCATACTTTTCTCTCAGTGTGGTTATTTTAGAATGGTATAGTTTGGTAACATATTCATTGTATTAAATTTGAACTAGATTTTATCTGCATCGGTTTTTCGTTGTTTAATTATTTAGATACTTTAACTAGGATTTTATTCCATCTTTTTTTTTTTTTTAAGAATTATTTCATCTATTTTAAACCAATTTTAAGCAAGATGCATTTTTAGTGAATAATTTATATCTACCTCATAAATGCGAGTGTTATTTGAGTCATTGGATAAGCCTAGTTATGCAAAAGTCTGAAAGTAATTTATCTGGATTGATGTTGTTATACATTTATTAAANTTAATTTTTTTTTTTTTTTAAAGAATTATTTCATCTATTTAAAATGAATTTTAAGCAAGATGCATTTTTAGTGAATAATTTATATCTATCTCATAAATGCGAGTGTTGTTTGAGTCTTTGGATGAGCCTAGTTATGCAAAAGTCTGAAAGTAATTTATCTGGATTGATGTTGTTATACATTTATTAAACTAAATTTCAATTTAATTTTAGACACCAGATACAGTTTCGTTCCCGAAACTGTTGTTAATAAATTATTTAATGAATTCCATTGTAATAGTTCATGAAGATTCACTATTTGTCATAACTTGTTTATATATGTGCATGGGAATTATTAATAACTTGTAATTTACTCATAAAATTTTTCACATTTTTAATATTTTGAAGAAAGGAATTTTTTAAATTTATTATAACTGATAATTTTGCATTAAGTATCTTTTACTCTAATCGTACATAAATAGTAAAAATATATAATTCCAAATTAACATTCACTTACAAACAGAGAAAAAAAAATTTGATAAAATTATCGAACTGTATCGTAATAACATTTCTGGTAAAAAAAATATGATTTTGGTAATAAAATCAAACTGTACGGTACCATTCATTTTGTAATTTTTCCGTTCATATGGAAGCAATTTTGCAAAAAATTCTTGCTTTCAAAATTACAGTTCTTGTTACTACATATTTAATAAAAAATACATAGTTAAAAAGTAAATTTAATCCAATTAATGCTATTTATAATATGCTCTAAGGCATAATGATGAAACTACCAAATTTTACCAGATTTACCAATTTTTATCACATATTATAAGACCATATTTTATTGATAGCTTTTTCCAAAGTGCTTCGGCAATAATTAAAGAGCATTTTGGTGTTCCTATTGAACCAGAAACATGATGAGTTTTACCATGTTATGATAGCTTTTACCATACTTTTTTCTCATTGCAATATTATTACTTTCTCGGTATTCGGTAAAAAATTTAATTGAATATTAACCGGCTCCGTTATGGACTGATCATAGAGACACGGTTCCCAGTTGAACACCGAAGTCAAACATCACTGTCTGCTGTCAGTAAGCGGGTGGGTGACCACTTTGATCAGCCTTCGTATGGACCGAGGGTGCGCGGTATAGGTCCTCGTTAAACTGTTCTACCGCAATGTGCGCAGGTCATCGGAATACCAAAGCAGGGGAGCCATCCCTTCTGCAGGGGATCAAAATTGTGATGTCTTCGGATCAGGGATGTTTCCCTGACCGTCGCCAATAGCCCATAGTGCAGTAAATAAAGTACCAAGCCGAACACTAAAATAAGTCCTCCACATCTAAGGATTGAACATGGAATAGCAGTACTTTATTTACGTCTCACAATTGCTGCACAATGGTCTATGGGTGATGGTCTGCCGATTATCCTTTACCATTACTAGATTAATTCTCTGCCGATGTAGTAGTATTCTGACGACCACTTTAAGGCAGAACAGTAGGCTTATAAGAGTGGTCACACACATTATTTGCAGCCAGTGACGCTGAACTTGGGTGATCTACACTGGTGTAAGAAATTAATCCCTAGAACTACTGGACCGATTTGATCTGTACAATACAAAAGCGTTCAACAATTGTAATAAACAAGCATGATCTTTGGAAGGTTGCAGAGTGAACAAATCTTACAGGCGTGATTTCATACCTTCCCACTCCAACGAGCACGATCATTAGTGTGTATTGCAATTGTTATTGGTCTTGTATTGCATCAATGTATGTACGTATCGAATTTCATTAAAATCGACACGGTTCCCAGCAGATCAAGCATCACTTGCTGCAGTCAGTGTGCGTGTGGTTGGATCAGTCTGCGCAGGGACCGAGGGTGTGCGGTCCTCGTTAAACTGTTCTACCGTAAAGTGCTCGCGTGCAGGTCATCGGGCTACCGAAGCGGGGGTGCCATCCCCTCTGCAGAGGACCAAAATTGTGATCATCCTCAGGGATGTTTCCCAGACCGTCGCCAATAGCCCATTGTGACGTAAATGAACTACAACAGTAGTTGTCTCTTCCACCAGTTTACCGTTTCTGTCCAATGTTGTGTAAACAGGTTGAGGAGCTAAAACGGTAAAGTAAAAAAAAAAGTTTTTATACTTGAAAGTAAATGTTGATTGTTTTCCTTCCAGTTGCACTTCGAAGGGAAAAAGACTCAACAGATTTGAAACCCAGAGATTTATTATATTCTGAAATGCTTATGGAAGGTGATCTGATATTGCAGGTATGTATCAAATCCTTCTTCAATAACATTTTTTCCATTCAATTACATTTATCAAACTTATTTATTCAATAATTATAAAAATTACAATTTAAACAAAAACTGTTAAAAATTTTAGTGTATCTTATCACCAAAAATGTTATATTGAAACACCAAGGATAATACAGTCCCTGGCACACACATTCTATGTAAATTCTTAATTACGTTTGTTTACATTTTGTATCAATTAATTAACATTGTAATGCAATACGTTAAAAATAAATACAAATATGAAAAATCTCCCGAATTAAAACCCATTACATGTGTGTTTAAATATAAAAGTATAGCATACAAACTCGTGCAGAACACGTAATTATCAAAAAACTACAGTGCGTCTAATAATTAGTTCTAATTATTATGATACACTAATATAATACCCGATGTAATAAATATTCTATGTTTACATAATATATCGTCTAATTTAACTAATTAATCATAAGCATTAAGAAGTGCAAACCAATAAAGCTGTATAGATAATTAAGATTTTACATAGAATCCAATCTAATAATTTGTCCCGAGACTGTCATCATCAAACACCAAGAATAGTTCGTGGTATAGTGAATTATCCGTTCCATTGCACTACTTTTGGTGTAAAATAGTTGCTACCAGTTTTAATGTACTCAGAAATTTATAATGTCAATCTGATAAAATCCAGATAAAAGTAATCAAATTAATTTTTACGATACAATTTATTGTAAAAACAATTAATTTAGAACATGAATAGAATAGTCCTAAAAATAAAAAGACAATCTATTTAACCAAGTTTCGATTATAAGTTTGTTATATGGAAAATTGCTAAATAGAGAATCATTTTTTGAACACAAAACAGGCATTAAATTCATAAACACTAATTAAAATAGCAATTGTTACACCTTGTAAACTAGTATTTATTTTATAAATCTTAACCATAAAAGAAATGGAATTTTCAAATAAAAAAGCTCATTTTATGTATAAAATTATAAAAGTAATTTTAAGCATACATGAGTTTAATTCTTACTCATAAAATCCGTTCATTTTTGTTTGCTTTCTCTAAAAGTCTTTGAAAATCAAGTCATTTCTACCATAAAATGAGTAAGTAAGTTTGAAATGTTATGAAATATTTTGGGAAAATGGATATCAGAGAAAAGTTCCTTCCCTTCGCTATTTGGAAGTTATTTTTCGAAGAAATTTCTAAAATGATCCTCGAAAAAAATTGCAAAACAGAGAAATTCGCAAAATGGAAGTTCGTTAAATAGAAGTCAGACTGCAGAATGTTTCGCAAAAACAATAAGCTACTACGTAAAGGATAAGAAAAAAATAAAAACCTTTTGAATTTATTAAAAATGAATAAAAAAGAACCCATTTTCCCCCTAAACACCCCATGTCATTAAATCAGTTAGGACAACGAAGGGGAGAAAGTTCCCGCAAATTGAATCCATTTTTGCCCTTTTAAGTAATCTATTTCAGCCGACCCCTTTTAAGTGTGATTTGAAAAATAAACTTGTATCGAAAATAATTAAGTTTTTTTTTTATAGACTTTTCTCATAAATCGTAATACTTTCTGTAGAAATGTATTCATAAATAGAAATTTCTATTTAACGAACTTCCATTTTGTGAATTTCTTTTTCGAGGACATTTTGGAGATTTCTTCATAAAATAACTTACTTCCAAATAGCGAAGTCTATTTAACAAACTTTTCTTTGAGATCCCCTTTCCCCCAAAGTCAAACTTGTCAACGAATTTTATGAGAGAAATCACTTTGTTTGCATCTGAAACGAAAAACTAAAACAAAATGAACGGATTTTACCAGTACTTATGTACGCATGTTGGAATGTATGTTTAAAATTACTTTTATAATAAATGCAGCTATAATTTTATGCAACTTTTTTTTGGTTCAAAATGTATGTAGTGTAACACTGGATAATGTTTTGTTTTCCGTGCAGATTTCTCTTATGGTTAAAATTAATAAGTAGATACTAGTTTGCAAGATTTTAATTAGGCNTTCAAAACACCTACTCCAACTGTATTTAGTATATTAAAACATGAGTATATGAATTCTTTTGAAAAGTTATTTCTACATTTCAATTAGCCAATACACTGCAAAAAATCTCACATCAAATTAGGGTAAAAAGTAGCCTTAGTGCAATATCCGTAAAATCTATTTTACCGTTAAATCCATTTTTTCCGTAAAATTTAATATTACGTATTTTTTACATTAATCCATATTTAATTACAATGATTCAGTTATCTCAAGGTAAATGTAAAATTTACTGTATGTCAGATTTATTTTTCTTTTTGTTCTGTTGAATTTCCCGGTAATAATGGATTTGACGGTAGAAAATACCCAGAGTGGCGGTAGAAAATACCATTTTTTACAGTGTATGTTTTATGAATATCTATTATGTATGTAAATTAAACTTATTTGTCAGCCTCGAAATCTTTTTTTTCTGCTTTGCATATTTGCACAAGAAGAAAAAATTAATTAAAAAAATGTTCAAATGAAAATTTAAAAATTTTGGCGAATTCTGCGGCGGATTTCAATGAAATTTAGCATTTTGTCGTTTCAAAATTAAATAGTTTAAAATTATAAAAGGTTTTATTCCCGAAAAATTAACTTTTTTTCTCCCTCATGATATAAAAAAAATAATTATTATTAATTATTTTTTATATGAAATAGTATCTGGCTAAACGAATTTATCAATCATATTCCTATGATTGATGGTTTAGAATTCAAAACCGTTCACAAAAAGATATATTTTTTCAGAGAATATGTTTTTTTTTATCTTGTTCGTTAACTTATAGTTAGCACAATTCAATTACCATATTTAAGTAAACCTTTTAAGCTATTAAATTGGAACTTAGTACATGAAACTCTCGATCATTTTAACAAAAATTTGTCCTGGCAATATATTTTTTTTCTCATTGTACGTATAGTAAAAATTTGACCCTATGCACTTACGTGTACATCATTTTTAATTTAGTTTTAAAGATTTTATGGTACAAATTGTTAATGAATTGTTTAAATCGATTCAAAACTTAATTATAATCTTTTTCAAGCTTTTTGGGGCTAATTATTATTAGCTGAATTAAGACCATATTGAGTGAATGTGAAATTGGGCATGCATGTTTTTAGTTGAGAGTAATAAAAATAATCATGTTCTCAAAAATAACTGAAATCAATTATACTTAATTTTGAGCCGTGGTGGCTAAGGGGATAGAGTGTTTGCCTTCCAATGACGTGAACTGGGTTCGATCCCCAGAGATGGCTGGTCGATATGAATTCCTCACACGGCTCAAGCCGACCACAGTGTTAATGCAAATACCCTTAATGGTAAACGGATCATGGGTTAGAATCCTCTTGTCGTTGGGCTAACTGTGGGAGGTTTTCGTGGTTTTCCTCTGCATGCAACGCAAATGCGGGCTAGTTCTATCAAAAAGTCCTCCATGAAGGCAGATTTCTCCCAATACTTGATCCAGGAGTTCCCTTGTCTTCCTGATTGGGTTCAAAATTACAAGGTTACGGAGTTGAGCATTAGTAGTTGAAAACCCAAAAATTGGGTCCTCTATTCAACGACGGTTATGAAATAAAATAAAATCTTAATTAAAAACTTTTTCAAGATTTTTGGGTCAAAATTAGTTAAATTAAGACCATATTATTGAGTAGATGCAAAATTAGTTTTTAAAAATGAGGATTCAGTGATGACCACCTTCAAATATTTAGCGGGCAAAAAAAAAAAAAAAAAAAATGGACACTTCTTATTCAAGTATACATAACATTGATTTCCAGAAAAAAAACCCAGAGAAAACGCCTTCATGTTTTAATCCAATTGATTTTTTTCACCTCGCTTCTCTCAATAGTGATTTATCACCCTCTTCTGTTCATTTATTTTTGTCAAAAATTATAAATAAATATATTAAGGGTTGTCATTACGAAACATCCAATATAAATCACTTCATTATTTTGAAGGTGAAAAAATTTTCTTTATTTGGTGCGATACACCCAGAAAAATTTCTAAGTGCACTGTTAAAAATTCCGAGTCACGTTCCACCAAAAATTGGTATTCATTTGCTGGCTACATAAAATAGAGCTCAATTTCGCCATATTTTGGTATTTTCACTAGCTACAAATATTAGTAGAGTTTGCACCAAAAGTAGGTTTTTTTGAAGAAACAAAACACCTATTTTCATTCTTTTTATTCTTTTTCTTTTAAAAAAGGAGAGAAAGGTTGCACCATGATCAGGTATTTTTGCAGATTAAATGCAGATTAAGTAGGTTATTTTATGACATACCTCTAACCATTTTATACCGCCAACCAAATTAGAAAGCCAACATAAAAGAAATAAGTTAAAACAACATGCATTATTTGTCCCAATATATCCAGACAGCTGGAAAGAAAACGTCGTAAATAAATATCGTTCAGTGTGCAGACAAAGTTTTGCGTCCACATTTTGGTGCAATCAGTTTCACCGTGGAAATATTTCTCGATCATACTTCACAATTTATGGTGCAACTGAAATAAAATAAACTTCAAATAATGGTTAAATATCTACGGAGTTCATTTACAATGTAGTATGGAGATAGATGTTTTTTCAAAAAACTTTTATAAATAATTTCATACATAAATTATCTATTTCCAAAATTAAAATTTTATTTATATTTCACTGCATGGGTGAGGCATTTAAGCGGAATTTTAAGCGCATTTTGATGAAATCTATCCAGTCAAATCGTTCAGATACACTGTAAAAAAGCTCAATAAATCTTTAACCTGTATTTGGTGCAAAGTTTCACATTATACCAAAGTTTAAATAAATGAAAAATCATTTTTTTAAGCTACTAAATTGTGAAGTGTGATCGAGAAAAGCTTCGACGGTGCAATTGACTGCACCAAAATTTGGTACAAGACACAAAACTTTGACGGTAACTTTAAAGTGAACGATATTTGTGTACGACGCCATGTCTTCTTTACAACTCGGTCTCGGTGTAT